TTAGGTGACTCCAAACAGGCAACATTATTTGCCTACAGGAAAACATGTATTAGTTGTTCGCTAGTAATGCAAAGTCCTTGAAGAGTATTTTGATTTTACCTGTTCTTTAGGGGAATCAGAAGCTCTTTATAAATCATTTTGCTTCCAAATAAGTCTGAGTTTCACATTTGTGCACCTTCAGTCTCTGTAACCATCAGCTTTAGGAGGAAACAAAATGCAATTTTCACAATGAGCTCAGGAAATTCAAGATTTTGACACCTAGTCGTCATTGTATATTGGGCAATAAATACCTAGTTAAGGCAGCAATAAAGTAAAAAGGCATTACAGTTTGTACTACACCACCTTCCCACTAGACTTAGAATACGGGAGCAATAGAATAGGGAAAAGGCAAGAACATTTAAAGCCTTTACAAAATTACAAGGTAACAATTCAGGTATTTTAATATGTACAAAGTAATTCAAAAACATATTTTAGCTTTTTTTTCAAGTAGGAAGCTGCTTTTCAATTGCTATCCCTAGATATTTGGTACAAAGAATTTTTTTTATTGTTAACATTTTCCATCATGCAGATAACGCAGGTGCTCTGGCACTTGGCTCGTGATACCAGATCCTCAGCTGCTTCAGAGCAGCACAATTCACTGCCCTGCACCAGCACCCACCCAGGGCAGGGACAGAAGGTGCCCCAAAGCCATTTTACCATCAGAAAGAAATTTTGCTCAGGAATGAGGGACAGATATCCACAACTGCCTCCCAGACTCAAATGTCTCTTTGCAGCTCTGAGTGTCCAAATAATTCTGATACTGCTGCCATCTGCAAAGCTCTCAGGCTGGAACCCAGCACGGGAGCATCCCCGTCACCAACACATTGGTGGGGACAGGAACCACACAGACATTTCCCACCAGGAAGCACCAGGAGCACAGCTGTGCTCCTCTGACAGGTAGCAGGAGGCAAGTTGAACACGGATCTGCAGGTTGCAAAGACCCTCCCCTCCCATTTTGCATCTTGACTGATTTTGTGTTTCACTGAAATTTTACACTACAGACAGTTATTAAGAGATATATGAAGAGGGTGTGGAGTAAAAATGAGAAGCATCTTTCATAGTAAGAAGAGGCATGACTGGTTCAGGTGTTGGCAATCGCAGCGACCTACCATCTCCAACAAAAACCCTGGGTGCAAGTCATCCGATTTCTCCCTCACAGGAGGGTAAGAAGCTCAAAGCTCTCCAATACAAAGCCGGCATCACATCCACTCCTTGCATTTCATGCTTCTGCCCAGTTATCCTCATCAAGCCCAAGCAACAGCTTAACGAAGTACTACCAGCTCCTCCGCCTCTGCGGCTCCCCAGCAGCATCCGCGGCAATTCACATCAGCTGCTGAGACCAGCTTTTGCACCACAGCCCCCCGTGCTCTGCTGGGGACCAGCAGCAGCCAGCAAAGCTGTCCGATTCACTCACTTCCTTGGAAAAGAACAAATGGGTTAAAATAACACTTAAGAACAAAAGACTTACTATGCCCCAGTGAGTGTTCCCCCAACAAAAAAAAATATCAGTAATTGGCTAGAAAGGGAATTATAGTGTTTTCTGATTTTTCAGAATCACACTGAAGCCAAACACACCCCCCCCATAGGATTCACCTCTCTGTGTAAACTGGGGGAAAACAAACAAAAACAATCACCAGGGGAACCAAATCTTTTTATCATTTATTTGGTGTAGAAGCTCACCTTTACACTGAAGAGTTTCCGGATAGGAACCAGGGATTTAACCATTTCTCTTACAGGATCAACAGCATCCTCCAGCCCCAGCAAGGCTGACCCTTCGCCAGTCCAGCACCAAACCTGGATCAGCACCAGCCAGAGCTCCCCAAGCGACCCCAAATCCGCACCCGTGTGTGTCACACAGGGCTGTCTTTGGTCGCAGGAGCAGCAAGAAGGAACTCTTGCTCACTGTCACGCTCCCAGGCACACCAGGCTGCTCAGCAGCTTGCACGCACCGTGGTCTGCACGGCATTTTCAGAACCGGCGTGTTAGAAGGCAGAAACCCTCGCAGAAATCTGTTCAGTCTGTCATTGCCTCAAGGCACAGGGAAGACGGAAAGCCTCCGAACAATACAGCCCCACAGTTACCTTTTAATTTTTGTATCAGGCTTTAACTACCAATGTACCTTATTTAGTAACCCAGGATTAGCTGTCCCTTCCCTGTAGCTAGGTGCAGGTTTAACCCCCTTGCAGTGAAGCTACGGCAGCAGCTCTTCGGGCAATAATAGCGCACTTCTCCCCAGAAGCAGGTACTAACCCAGCTCCTTCAACTCACATTTTCACAATTGTTTTGTGTTACTTAGCAAGTATTTTTCCATGTTCTATTAAATTAGTTTCAGGTGGTTCCTAAGCCACTGTCACCTACTGGCCACAGCAGCACACAGCTCAGCACAGGTTTATCCGGACAGCTGGGGAAAAAGCAGCTCACTGAGCTCCGCGCTGTTACCACCGACCCACAGCGTTATCCCCACAGCCCTTCGGCTTTTGCTGTACACACACGTCAAATCCCTGCTCAGCTGCTGCGTGTCCCGAGGTTCCTCATAGGAATTTTGACATTAACACTCACTGAAGGCCAAAACCCGTGACGTCAGGCACGTCTGCCTGCTTCTGGCAACTCAGCGCTCAGCTCATGCCCACAGGATCCGTTACACCTCCGCTTCCATCGCTGTGGAAACCAGAACAAGCTCTGCGACAGGAAGGTATGGCCACGCTTTCAGTTCAGCGAGGACACGGACGAGGGGACAGTGCCCTCTACCTCAAGGGAGGCTTTACCACCACACAGAAGAACCACTCCAGCAACTAGACCAGCATCTGAGTTTGTTCCCATTCACTCCTCAACACTACCCGTCTTGTTCAGCTCCATTTAATAATGTGGGACAAGAGACAAAAAAAGGCTAGGGGGGTCCCAAACTAGACACAGGGTGGTCAGCTGGAAGGCATCAGCCCATTTGCCATGTCAGGCATCATCAAAACATTCACCTAGTCAGTAATCTCACACAGAGCTGCTCCAAAACCAGCCTCAACAGCAGAGCAGCACCCCAACGCTTTTAATCCCCTCAGAGGGAATTGGAAAGTCTGACTCCAGGCCTTTGGCACACTTGACAAGTGCTTCTTTGCTCAACTCTCTTCAGCCCTACCACACCACAGCCTATAAGTGGTTGGAAATCTCAGAAAATGCCAGATGAAGTGGAAGAGGTACGTGGCTCCAACTGTATTAATTCAGTTCCTTAAGAGGAAGTGAGGAGGCACTGACTGCACAGCCCACCACACATGGGCTTCAGCAGGCATCTGCCTGCCCAAAGGCTGCCACTGGCCCAGAATGCCATTACCTTGTCTCATTTTACCATCAGTTGTGATTTTCCCCACAGGTTCACACACACTGAAGCACTAGACCTCCTAACAAGTGAGGAAGATTTAGGCACAAAGTTTGAGGAATAGCTCTGCACCAGAATCACTAGGTTGGAAAGGACCTTCAAGATCATCAAGTCCAACCATTAATCCAGCGCCACCATGTCCCCTAAACCATGTCCTGAAGCGCCACATCCACACGTTTTTTGAACACTTCCAGAGATGGCAACTCCACCACCTCCCTGGGCAGCCTGTTCCAATGCTTGACCACCTTCTCGGTGAAGAATTTTTTCCCTAATATCCGATCTAAACCTCCCCTGGTGCAACTGGAGGCCATTTCCTCTCGTCCTATCACTGGTTACTTGGGAGAAGAGACCAACCCCCACCTCACCACAACCCCCTTTCAGGGAGTTGTAGAGAGCGATAAGGTCTCCCCTCAGCCTCCTCCAGACTAAACACCCCCAGTTCCCTCAGCCGCTCCTCATCAGACTTGTGCTCCAGACCCCTCACCAGCTCCGTTGCCCTTCTCTGGACACACTCCAGCACCTCAATGTCCTTCTTGTAGTGAGGGGCCCAAAACTGAACACAAGATTCAAGGTGCGGCCTCACCAGTGCCCAGTACAGGGGCACAATCACTTCCCTACTCCTGCTGGCCACACTATTCCTGATACAGGCCAGGACGCTGTTGGCCTTCTTGGCCACCTGGGCACACTGTCGGCTCATGTTCAGCCGGCTGTCGGCAGCTCTCCAGCCGCTCCTCCCCAAGCCTGTAGCGTTGCGTGGGGTTGTTGTGGCCAAAGTGCAGGACCCTGCACTTGGCCTTATTGAACCTCATACAGTTGACCTCTGCCCATCGATCCAGCCTGTCCAGATCCCTCTGCAGAGCCCTCCTACCCTCCAGCAGGTCAACGCTCCCACCCAACTTGGTGTCATCTGCAAGCTTACTGAGGGAGCACTCGATCCCCTCATCCAGGCCATCTATAAAGATACTGAACAAAACCAGCCCCAGAACTGAGCCCTGGGGAACACCGCTTGTGACCGGCCGCCAGCCGGATTTAACGCCGTGCACCACAACTCTCTGGGCTCGGCCATCCAGCCAGTTCCTGTCTGTAACAGACTCCCAACAAGACATCTGCCTCACTGTCCTTCCCCCTCATCCTTACCCATAAGCACTCTACCTGGTGCAACATCACTATTTGCTATGTTAGCAAGTGCAGCATTCACCAGTACCTAACCCAAGCCAGTCTGGCACTACTCCAGCAGACAGCCTGCCATTCACCTGCTAGTCAAGTGGACCATTCCACTGCTCTGTGTGCACACCTGAAGGCTTGGTGGCATCATACAAGCATCAGCACTCTTGAACCCACATGGTTTTGTGTGGGAAAGCTGAGGGCCCCAAAGCAGGCTCATTCAGGCCTATCCCCAGTGCAGCACCCATCCCTCCAGGAAGGGGTGGAAGCCCTATAGCCATTAGAACCTTTACAAAAAGCACATACACACACTTCAGTAGGGCAGGGAGACTATTTATTAATTAGGGTTGTGCTGAGACGCTGTAGACGTGTCGGGGAAGCCCAGGGAAGCCCCCAGGAACTTCTGGGAACAGCCTCATCCTCCCGGCGCTCAGTCCAGCTGCAAGAGAGCATGAAAGGCGAGAGGTGTCAGCGAGGAAACGGCACACCCGCCCCTCCCGCACAGCCCCGGTGCCGGCGCTCACCTTAATAAAGCCGATATCCTTGGCATACTGGCGGAAGCACTGCCGGCACATGTTCAGACCGTACTTGCGGATGAGGCCGTGGCGGTTGGAGCATACGCGGCTGTGAAGGGAGAAGAGAGCAAGGCCGGTCAGGGCGGATAATGGCGGCGGGGGATAGAGGGGAAAGGAGGGATGGAGTGTGGCAACTGTGGCAGCCCAGGGAGCCCAACTGCCACCCACACGGCCCCCAGGGCGCGCACTGACCAGGAGCGGGAGCCCTGGCCGAACTTTCTGGGGTGGCTCCAGTAAAGCTGCTGGTGGCCCATGCTGCCTGCTGCGCGCCTAGCTGCGAGAGAAAGATGGCGGTCCGCGCATGCTCTAATC